TTGTATGGCCACCCTGTTTCCGCAACCACTATCTCTACTTCCTTGAACCCAATCACATTCAACGCCGTTCTTACCGCATCCAACTGCTCAAGCATATACTAATTCATTAGTTTTATTCTTACTAATCCTTCACAATGTAATATTCCATCCATAAAAGTTCAATGCTTAAATTTTCAATTTAAGCATAATATAATTTGAGAAATCGGTAAAGGATTATGTACATTAGATTTTTCGTCTCTCACTTTGTATATTTTCATTGTTATGTTGTTTAAACCTATGGCATCATATTTAATTATTTTAGCACATGTTATAGACATAGCTACATATGATGAAACAAGCTAGCAACATACACAAAAACATTTGAAATTAATTCAACTTCTTCGATAGCATGGATGTTTTACTTTTTACCTATCAAAATCAAAACATACCATTTTTCACAACAGTATATATAATTCTATGTAAATAAATTCAAAACAATGATAATGGTAAGTTAAATTTCAGATACATAATCTGTATTAAACAGATTGTTCAATAATATTTAAATATCAAAGTATGAAAATAACATGTTTCGCTATAAAATAATCCGTAAGATGGAGTAAAATGCGGAGTAATAAATTATGAAAAGATAGTGATATATCGATATGAGGAGTCGCGTTCTGGTAAGAACGGCCTAATCAGAACCGCCGTCTGACCACCTCAATTAGAGGTGCTTCTCGGTATAATTTTTGATGAAATTTTGTGAGCATGTTTTTCATTAAGTGTATATTATGTCTACAAAATTTCAGCTTAAAATTCAATCAGAAATTTGCTTAACTGAATTATTAAAAACACAACACAAAATATATATCAAAATCATGGTATTTTTCAATAATTTATTTGACTGACTTTAATTAGATTTTAAACTTAAATTTGATGGACATACTAATTTACACTCAACGAAGAACATGTTCACAAACTTTCATCAAAGATAAAAAATTATATTGGGATGCACCTCACTCCAAGGGCGTAGCTAGGGAGCAACTCTGACCCCGGCCCACCCCAAATTTTAAAAATGTCTATTTTTTTAAATGTTCCGTGTAAAAAAATTTCAAAAAAATTCTTTGTATCGATCCAGTCCGTCCTAGTCCGGCCAGGTGCCCTTGCCTCACTCAAATAGTCAAATGTAGATGGCCAAACTAGACTCCTTTGAGACCGATTTGAGAGGATGACTCCTCTTGATATGAGATACTTCATCCGTCCCAAATTATTTTGCAAAGTCAACATTTTTTTGTCAATCAATAATAAAAGTCAATCCTCTCTATAGATAATTAATTCAATTTTTAATAATTAAAATTTACATATTCAAAAACTACATTAAAATCTTTTCAAAGTTGCAAACTTCAAATTAGAATATAATTAAAAATTGACATCCTAATTAACTAAATAAAATGAAACTGTAGGGTCAAAAAAAGTCAAATTTATAAATCAATTTGGGACTAATTACAATCCCGTAAAAACATCATAAAAATAAAAACTGCACAGCACTTATGACCAACCTGCGCATCGAACATGTTCATGTAGTTTATATTTGAGCCGGGATCGTAACGGCCGCAGCTGGACCGGAACAGACAGAAGTCTAACGTTTCCGGCCGGGGGTCAGTCCGGTAAGCGAAAAAGGGGTAAGGGTTTATGAGGAAAGGAGAGCCGGTGGCCTTACAGAAGCTCAGCACCTGTTTCAGAGAGTCAGTCACTGCCGGATCAAACCTCCCGGACGACGGCGGCTCCGACGATATCAGCATAGACATCCCATGAACCGTGGAGACCTTCACTTTCCCTCCAATTGAGGCAGAGTTAAGTGCATTCTGCAGATTCTGCATCGCCGGCAAGAGCTGCGCGATCAGATTCCGGTCTCCGGAGTAGAGGATCTCATTCCCGACGTTGATGGTCGTGATGATACTCTCCGGGTAGAAAGGAAGCACATTGGAACGCACCCATCTCTCTGAAAATCCGGGGTCGGTGGCCATCGCCGGAATGTCTGCATTTGCCAGCCCGATCATGATTCCGATGCCGGTATTCGCTAAAGCCTTGATGATGGCCGGGTCAGACCCGTACAGCCGGACCTTTTCGATTGTAGTTGACTGCAGTAGCTTAGCGGTCACCTCCGGTGCCGGAAGATTATCCGCCACTTGGCCGTAATTGACTCCGACAAATGACTGGGCGTCTGATGGATTAAATTAATTAATACGGAGTAAAGTAACTAGTTACGTAATTGTAAGTTACTACGTACTAGTAATTGAAAAAAAAAACAACAAAAATATTAGCTTGTATTATTAATTTATTACCTCACCTGAAAGATGGAAAATGAAGAGAAAGCAGAGTAGTGAAGCGCAAAACAGAGGAGTCGTTGTCATGCTAGCTTTGGGCTTTAATTTTATAAATTTCTTGCTTTGGTTGGACGGCAATGGTGATGGGTGAGTAATATAATACAGATAAAATAGGTTTACCTGTTTTTTTGTTTCTTTATTAATGTACAGTTATGATATGCATTAGCTCAATATATATGATGAGATGGGAGGGTGGGAAGAATGGTGGATTTCAATTCTCTTTACACTTCCAAACTGGACCCGCGATTTCAAGGAACAGGGCATACTTGCATGCTAAGCAATCCCTTCATTCCCGGCCTGTGGAAGAAAGCTTCGAAAAGTGACACAATTTGACAAAATATTGGATATCTATGAGAGACATACAGCTTAGTGCTTATAACAAGGTAGCCTTTTTTGCATGCCATCATCAAAGTTTTAAAATGTTTGAGCACACATATCAATTGGCATGCTTCTTTTGCACACATATCGGATTGGCCAATGGTCGGATGGTCATGGTCGGATTGGTGACGGGCTCACGGCCAAATTGGTCATACTCGTGTGAGAAATAATAACACGCTTACCTGATTGGTAACCCTGACAGTATATTTATAATGTATAAGTATCTGCATACAATAAGGAAATTGTAAGGAAACTGCCTAATAATTAATTCTAAACTATAACACCCCTCAAGCTATGAAGGAGGAACTACGCGTAGATTGTCTCGCAAAACTAAAAAGTGCTGAGGAGCCAAACTTTTAGTGATAATATCAACCAGCTGAAATTTCGTAGAAACATACTGCACAAGTAGGTCACCATGAGCCACGCGCTCTCGAACAAAATGATAATCAATATCAATATGCTTGCTTCGAGCATGCTGAATGAGATTAGCAGATAAATATGATGCAGAGAGATTATCACACAAGAGCCGAACTGGACGATGAATAGGAAACCCCAACTCAAAAAGGATGGATCTGATGTGGAGTGTATCTTGGACAATGTATGCAATGGCTTGATACTCCGCTTCAGTAGAGGATCTGGAGACAGTAGGTTGCTTCTTGGAACGCCAAGAGATCAGATTAGGACCTAAAAAGACAACATAGCCTGAAGTGGAGCAACTACTATCAGGACAACCAGCCCAATCAACATCAGAGTACGCAAGAACAGAATGAGGATGTGTTGAAGGCCGTAGGTGTAGTCCATGTGTAAGAGTGCCCTACAGGTACATGAAAATTCTCTTCACAGCCAACATATGTGAAGTACGAGGAGCATGCATAAATTGGGACACCAAGTGAACAACATATGTTATATGAGGTCTAGTCATAGTCAAATATTGCAATGCACCTACCATGCTACGATACTCTGTAGGGTCAGCAAGTAACTCACCATCAGTGAGGGACAACTTAGTTCTATTGGGAAGGGGTGTGCGAACAGACTTAAGGGGTGTAAGGAAACTTCCTAATAATTAATTCTACATTATTAAGCCGGATTGGTCACGGTCATATTGGTCACAATCAGTCACGATCGGATCGGTCATGGCCGGATTGGTCACTGGCCGAATTAGTCACTCATCAGGTTGGTCATGGTTATTAGTAGTAGTTTAGTCTCATTTTTGGAATTTTTTAAAAGTGATCCTGTATTTATCCATAGCATGTGTTATTGTACTCCCTCCGCCCCTTAAAACTTTGCCAAGTTTGACTGACACATGAATTAATGAAGTAAAAACTGTGTGCTTGAGGTTTGTGCAAAGGAGAGAGAATTAACTGGAACCACAAATTCTTTACTTAAAAGAGAAAGTGACAAAGTTAGTAGGACATCCAAAAAAAGAAAGTTGGCAAAGTTTTAAGGGACAGAAGGAGTATTACTTATGGACAAACCCCAAGTTACAAACATAGTAACTTTAATTTTATTTGTAAATACTCCCTCTGTCCCGTAATTAAGTTACCACTTTCCTTTTTGGGCAGTCCCTAAATTAAGTTCACACTTCCTTACTTTCCTTATTTGGCAAATTATCTACATCAAAGAAGTGTCAAACAGTGCAAAACAGTGTCCAAACAGTGTCCAAATAGTGTCCAAACAGTGTTTGAATGGTGCAAAACAACGCACTTCACAATAAAGTCCCTTAAAGTTTGTCCTAGTTTGACTTTACAATGTTTAAGGAGATGAATTTGAGTTTACACTGTAGCGACTATGTTTGACACTGTTTTGCACTGTTTGACACTGTTTGTTATAGATTTATTTACCAAATAAGGAAGTTGAAAAAGTAAAACAAACATTTTGGGACATCCATTTCAGGAAAGTGTGACAAACTTTAAGGGATGGAGGGAGTATAAGTTATGGCTATTAGCCTATTAGTAAAAAATATATGAATCTTCAGTTTTTGAGAATTTAAAATGAGGCCAACTAAATAATATTCCTTCCGTCCCATTGGACTTTGCCAACTTTCCTTTTTTTTTGTCCCAAAAAACTTTGTCACTTTCTTATTAAAGCAACTAATTTGTGGTCCTGCACATTTCTCTCTCCTCTGCACAATTATCAATCACATAGTTTTTACTATTCTTATTTCTCACTTACTTTTCACTTGCCAAAGTCCAACGAGACGGAGGTAATATCATTCAAAATGTAGTGAATGTAAAATATGTGAATGATGTAGAACTAAATATGGTAGTATGGAGTATTTGTTTAAGAAAGAAGATAGTACAATGTGATATGATGGGAGAAATGTGCACACTAAAAAATCGGAAAATGTGTCATCCACCTTTGTAAATAAGCTAAATTTTTAGAGTACAAATGGAGCCATACTTCGTTTGCCCAAAGTAAATCAAATATTATATCAATGGAATAAATCAATTGAATCAAATTAAAACAGTTGACTCAGTCATAACATCCAAACCGGACTTTCATCCTTTACATTGCTATTTGCTCACTGCAGAGCTGTTAGGTTGCAAAAATGTTGAACCCAGGGACCATTTTTTCCCGCGTCACTGTTTTAAAATAAATCGGCAGTGACCTCTTCAATGAGTCCCTTCATCAAATGCTTCTCAACATCCTTTGCCACCTCGCCCTTTTCTAGGAAGGCAAACATGGCCCCACCGTCCCATCCAAGGTCCCACATACAATTTATGTCAGGCTCTGTGTTTTCCATGTCTTTCGCAAGCATATTATCAAAGTACTGTGTTGACTCGCAATCTTCATCACTTCCACTCCGGTCAAAGCTGGTCAACTTCTCAAAGTCCTCGCACAGTTGCTTGATCAGATCATCTAAAGATCTAACCTTTACGAAACTGGTGATGGGTATTCTGGCGTGGGGAAGGGCGGAGAGTTCTTGTCTCCTTGCTTTTCTTTTCATCACCTCATAGGCACAGTCTACTGTAAGCATACGCTCTGCCCCTTCAGTGATATGATCATTTGCATAAAACACACTGACTGGTAGGTTCAGATTGAGCAGCGCTTCTGCAGTGCTGAGGAATAAGTGGCTTTTGATAAGTGATTCCTTGAGATTCTTTTCTGGCTCAGTCAATGGCTCTTTCTGTTGTTTGGGGTTTGACTTGCAGGTTTCTGATTTAGTTGGTTGGTTTTCTGTAACATTCAAAGAGTTAATTAGCCATCCTCCTGTAATTGCTATGAGTCCCATGTAGAACTGATATAATTCATATATTTGTATGACTTTATCAGTCTTTCCATATTTGATACTACATTTTAGTGTAGTTTGACTCAAGTCACCCAACCCAACTATGAATTTTACCAATATATAACTTCTTACCAAATTTACCCTCATAAGTCATAACAGAATAGCTAATTTTTAATTAATTATGTTTTCCAATGTGTTGTTTTTCTTATCTTATTAATGGTATACAAGGGAAAATGTAATTAATGCTCTATGGCCGGTTCTCCTAAATGGCAGATAAAGAGGACCTCCAAAGTAACAACTTAAAAAAATACTCGTAGATAGTTAAATAAGAACAAAGGGGGCATTTTTCTACTTTAATTTAAAGGACAAATGTATAAGAACCTGAAATTATGGTAGGCACAGTTTTAATAACTTGATCTTGGAAAAGTCCTTGATCTCCTGCAGCATCACATAAACTAAGGGTCATGTTCTTCCACACCCCATTTTCACTTAGCACAAATAAGCTTCATTCTCATAGACACTTTTCATGTAAACTTACCTTCTTGGTGATTTTGCAATTTTTTTTTATAACTGATGTCTGGATTTTGCCCTGCATCCTGGTGACTACTCCTGTGTAATTCCATTGCATCTTTCTGCTACCAGAGAAAGTCAAAAAATAAAACCCCAATCTCATATAGATTAGCACAATGTTAAATGTCATAAGAAGTAAAATTTATTCATGAAATTGAAAATTTATGAAAACTAAACCTACATCTTCAGTATGAACATGTAATGCCAAAACTTTTGATTCACAATGCACTATTTCTTGTACAGCTTCTTCTTTGTCAAACTCAGAGGTGTTTTCTTCTTTCAATTCAATTGAATGTTCTTCACTCAATTTGCCTTTTACACCACAGGTGCTATCCACATTGCATTTCACCTGTTTCTTCACCTTCAGTATTGGTGACTGTTGTTTCAATGTGTTTTTGAGTGTGTCTTTGATGTGGGTTTGAATCCGACTTTCTTTCCTCTTAATGGCTATCTCCTTGATAGGCTTCTCTTCTGCTCTATGTTTAGCATGTTTGGCCTGGTTCAGTAAAGGCTCCTCCCTCTTTGGATCACTTTTTGATTTAGTACTATTATTATTCCTTACAGTTTTGGGAAGTCTGCCCTCCATATGACTTGGCGTTGGTTTGTGAATCTCCAGTTTTCGCTTCACTGTGATAGCCTCGTTTTCTGCTATTTTGTTATCTCTGTGATGTATATTATTATTCCTCCTGTGCTTAGTCAATTCTGGCGACGAGTTCTCAGCAGCTTTGTGATCACTGTTATGATGAGGTGGCTTATCATTCTTCTTCGGGGCTGAGTGTCTTGAGGCCTTCAGAACTTTATTTCGGGGAAACTCATCCAGTCCCATGAGTTTCGCAATGACATTTGATATTCTCCCCTTTTCTGTTCCATGTGTTGATGAAGTTTCGCGTTCTCGGTTTGTAGAAGCATCCTTAAAATATGTCAAGGCCAGAAGTTTCTGTGCACTACCTGTGGTCTCTTTCTTGTTATATGATTTTCTGGAGGGCTTATTATCGAATGAAAACTTCGGAAGGTCTTGATGCTTCTGATCAGCTGTTTTCACATTATTAGTTTCGTCTTCTTCATCAAGTAATGTTATCTGCCGGTTTTTCCTTTGAGAGGTGATTATGTGGTTGGAGGATGCTTCCTGCAGGTCAACAAGCATTCTCAGGGATGACTCCAAATCCATGGCTCCTTTCAAGAGTTCCTTCCCAACTACTTCAAAAGAGTATGTGTCAAAGTTAACATTGCCACCATTTGAATAGGTGGTTTTGAGGATCTTGTTTATCTTTTGTATCCCCTTTGATATTTCACTAACTTGAACATTTGAGAGGGTAACATACTGGCTACTTTCCATTTTCCCCATAAAGTCAAATGATCTCTGCCCAAATTGATGGACAACTCCATACACTGCATTATGATTGCATGAAGAGTTCAGTTTGGTAAAACTGTCTCGCTTTTCAATGGAAACTGCGATTGCCATGGAAAGATCTTTCTTTCCTGAGCTTTGAACCCTTTGAGCTCCATGATAAGGAACAATCTGTGCTGAAGATTGTTGAATATTGACTGATCGGTTGCCCCGGCTTGATGTCTGCTAGTTCATTGTGCAGGAAAGTTATTAAAAATACTTGCTCAGCTATTTTAGTGTTCCAAAGAAGAGAGAAAAGCAACTTGCATTTCTTCTGCAGTTAAAAAATACTTACAGGTTCTAGAGATTTTATCTGATGAGAACCTCTGTGGGATTGTCCAGCATTTGCATATCTCCCTGTTTGTTTCACACAATAAAGATGACACACATCACACTTTCATGATATGAAGCATTTGCGTAGACCAATTTATCACTAACTCTAACAAATTAATACACAACCACATCCAGATGTCAAGTGGATATGCAAAGTTCATGAATTCATGCAAAACATCATCATACTTTGACAGTTGATAATCCACTCTGGTTGCTCATTTACCTCTTGATTGTGATTGTGATGAATTCTGAGAAGTTGCCATTCTCTCCTTCTTTAGCCGCAGGTCTTGCAATAGCTTTTGCGCTAAATCCGATTTCGCTCCCATGGTTTCCCACATGAGGATTTCACTTTTGTTATGTTTTTTTCACTTAGGGATGTATGAGAAACATGGATGTTTTTGGATAATGTGTTGGTTGCAGGACGAGTGGAATGTCTGTCACTTAGGTGGGAAGCCTTATTCAGTGTTTGGTAAGATGATTTTGTTTTGGAAAGAATGAATAGAATAAGAAAGCTGGAATTTTTTACCAGATAGATTACTTCTATTCTAATCCAAGCAAAGTCAAGGATTAAAGAACTTCAAAGAAAAGCTTCCTGTATTGGAATCTGCTTCTTCTATAGCTCTAGTCAGATCTAACATGGAGTAACATGGCTGTTGCTATTATTTTAAAATTCCCAACTTTTTTCAGTGGGATAGACCTGTAGTTTTCAGTTTTTTAATGGAGGTTTGTGGCTATATTCTTCTGTTTATTAGAGTGCAGATTCTGCAAGTATTGATGCTTCCTTTGCAGGAAAGCATCCAAGCAGCAGAGTGCCGATTAACCTGCAGAAATTTCCAGTCCTTATTGGCACTTATCTTCATATAAAGTATGATGACCTATCAGATACTCTCAACTATGTAGCTCGGGATAATTTGATTTATAGTGTTCATGTGAAGAATTTCAAATTTAAACAAATAGAAAATGGATTTTTTAAAGGAGAATTTGATGGCCAATTGTGTTAAAATAGATCAATTAAAAGTTGAAAAATAAGTATCATTTCTACTTTTAAGAGGATGTAATTTTTATTTTAACAATCTTTAGTATAATTAGAAGTAAGGGTGGGCATATCGGTTTCTGTTCGGTTTTTATTGGTTTTCGGTTTGATTTGATTTGAAACGGATTGGAAGAATGAATAGCAAACAAAAATCATACTCCGTGTTATATTTCGATTTGGTTCGGTTGGGATTTGTTATTTTTTAATAACATATGAAGATTTTTTTTGAATTTATTTAGTTCTATTTTTATTGATTTTTATCAATTTCGGTTCGGTTTAATACATTTTGGAAAAAATGTTACCGAGCTCAAATCAAATTGCATATGGTTCGGTTTCAGTTCGATTTGATTCCATTCACTTTTCTAAAGGCAAGAAGATATTTTTTTTAACAACAGAGAAAGCTTTTCATGTTCTTTCTTTTTTTTGAAATGAAATTTTATTAAAGAACATTAAAGGAATTACAAGAAACAAAGATAAAAGAAAAAACAAGGGGAAGGGGAAAAGAAAGAAAAAAACGAACTACAAGTGAGGAAACCAACCCTAATGCATAAAAAATGACCCTCCCTATCCTCTCACTACTCTCATTCAAGACGAGTTTGAGACCTCGTCCTCATGATATGTGATCACTGGTGTTTTTTCCTATATATTTTGATTTGGGTATTCAAGTTCTGCTTAGGCAAGCAGTTATCCCTCGTGACTAATATGACTTTGTCACATATGTCTTGAAGCATGACCAAGAAACTCATCTCCAGAGTAAGAAAACAACTGCTCGGAAATTTTTTCATCATTATCGTGGTTTTGTATAACTCCGCCATGAGATCATTTTTTTTGTATCATGCATGTCCCAAGCCAGGATAAAGGAGGAGTGTGTTGTGGTAGGCGCGTGACAGCCAACAGTATCACTTAGTCACATCACATGACATGAATCGAAATATGAATATCGTTACAGCTAGGTCGTCGCCCGTAAGCGACGCGTCATCCCTCCCCCTGGGGGTGGTGTCAAATGGGCAAGGGCGCGCTACACTTCATAGGCCTGGATGTGGTGATAAGAATGCTAAGGCTGCTAGGTCATCGCCCGGAAGCGATGCGCCACTCCAATGCCCGGGGATGGTGTCAAATATGCAAGGGCATGGTGGGGGTCGATGTGGGGTGAAGAAGAGAAGGCAGAGTGTTAGATTGTGCTTTGGGACATGGAATGTTGGCTCTCTTACTAGAAGATCATCTGAGATAGCTGAGGTTATGAAGAGGAGAAATATCAGCATAATGTGGTGCATGCAAGAAACTAAGTGGGTTGGAGAAAAGGCACGCGAGATTAATCCCGGAGGTTTTAAGCTTTGGTACTCGGGGAGAGAGAGGAACAGAAATGGAGTAGGCATTATGGTGGCACATGATTATGTTGACGGTGTGGTTGAAGTGTTTAGGAAGAACGATCGCATCATGAGCATTAAGTTGATAATGGGGGATGAGATTGTGTTCGTGGTTAGTGCCTATGCATCACAAGTGGGATTGGATGCATCTATCACTCAACAATTTTGGGAGGATCTTGAGGAAGTGGTGCGACGAGTGCCAAGGGGAGAGAAACTGATCATAGGAGGCGACCTCAACGGGCATGTGGGCCCAAGTCGTGATGGTTTTGAGAGTGTCCATGGCGGACATGGTTTTGGCACTAAAAATGAAGCGGGGAAGAACATTTTGGATTTTGCCTCGACATATGAGTTGGCTGTGATGAACACTTGGTTCAAGAAAAGAGACTCTCACCTTGTCACATATAGAAGTGGAGCTAATAGTACCCAAATTGACTACTTTTTAGTACGGACGACTTGGAGAACTAGCTACACTGATTGTAAGGTTATCTCAGGTGAGAGTGCTGTCACTCAGCATAGGATGCTTGTGCTTGATTTTCGAGGTAAAAAGAGTGGACGAGTTAAGGTACAAGGGGAGCCAAAGATAAAATGGTGGAGGCTCGAGGGGAATCTCCAACAAAGTTTTGCACACAAAATGTTGGAGGAAGATGTTTGGTCTATTGATAATGACGCACACGTGGATGATGTGTGGTTACCAATGGAGTCCACCATTAACAAAGTGGCGAAGGAGATACTCGGAGAATCTAAAGGATGTCTGCCACCAAAAAAAGGACACATCTTGGTGGAATGATGAGGTGAAACAAGCAATAAGGGCCAAAAGAGAATGCTATAAGAAATTGGGCAAAAGTTGGAGCGACGAGAACATAGAGGAGTACAAAGAGGCTAGAAAAAGAGCAAAGAAAGTTGTGAAGGAAGCCAAAGGAAAAGTGAATAAGGAATTGTATGTAAAGTTGGATTCTAAGGAAGGAGAAAAAGATATCTACAGACTTGCTCGCCTTCATGACCGTAGGACTCAAGATATCGGAAAAGTTAAGTGTGTGAAGGATGTCGATCAAAGGGTACTAATGGACGATGAAGAAATAAAAGAGAAGTGGAGGTCATACTTTGATACCTTGTTCAACGGGAATAAAGTCCAAGGTATTGATGATCTTACTATACCAGAGTGTATGGTAAATAGGGACTTCGTGAGAAGGATTCAAACAACAGAAGTTAAAAAGGCTATGAGAAAAATGGGCCGAAAGAAAGCAGTGGGCTCAGATGGCATACCGATCGAGGCTTGGAGAAGTTTGGGAGAGAAAGGCATCGAGTGGCTAACACATTTTTTCAACATGATTTGGAGAAACAACAAAATGCCAGTGAGTTGGCGGAAGAGTACTCTCATTCACTTATTTAAAAATAAGGGTGATGTGCAAGAATGTGCTAACTATCGAGGGATTAAGCTTATGAGTCACACCATGAAACTTTGAGAGCGAGTGGTTGAGCAAAGACTACGTAAAAGTGTGAAAATTTCGGAGAATCAATTTGGTTTTATGCGTGGACGCTCAACAACTGAGGCCATCCACCTTCTTAGACAAGTTGTGGAGAAGTATAGAGACACTAAAAAGGATCTGCATTTGGTGTTCATTGACTTAGAAAAGGCATATGATAGGGTACCTCGAGAAGTTCTTTGGTGGGCCTTAACTAGAAAAGGCATATCACGTAAGTATATCAGCATCATCATGGATATGTATGATGCTTGTACTACAAGTGTCCGCACTAGTGTAGGGAGGACCGCAGAGTTCCCTATTACTATTGGAGTGCACCAAGGATCTGCTCTGAGTCCTTTCTTATTTGCTTTAGTCATGGATAAACTTACGAAGTCAATTCAAGAAGATATACCATGGTGCATGATGTTTGCCGACGATATTGTATTGATTGATGAGACACAATCCGGTGTTAAAGCAAAGTTGGAAGTATGGCGACAAACATTGGAGAGCAAGGGTTTCAAACTGAGCCAAAGCAAGACTGGGTATATGGAGTGCAAGTTCGGTGGAGGTAGAAGCGGTAGCAACAGTGGGATTACTCTTGATGGTAAGGAGATACCGGTGTGTAATATGTTCCGTTACTTAGGATCCATAATTCAGAAGGATGGTGAATTAGATGGAGATGTATGTCATAGAATCAGAGTTGGGTGGATGAAATGGAAAAGTGCTTCAGGATTTCTATGCGATCGAGGTATGCCGACTAAATTGAAAGGTAAATTTTATCGTACAGCAATTAGGTCGGCATTAATGTATGGCATAGAGTGTTGGGCGGTGAAGCAATGCCACATTCAAAAGATGAGTGTGACAGAGATGTGTATGTTGCGTTGGATGTGTGGACATACCAGAAAAGACCGCCCGAGGAATGAGGTAATCAGACAAAAGGTGGGAGTAGCACCTATTGAAGATAAGATGCAGGAGTCTCGTTTGCTGTGGTTTGGGCATGTGCATAGAAGACCGAGTGATGCACTTGTTAGACGACTTGAGGGGTGGGGAGAAGAGTCAGAGAAGAGAGGGAGGGGAAGACCCAAACAGACTTGGATTAGAGTAATCGGAACTGATATGCGTCTTCTTGGGTTGGATGAGAGTATGACTTTGGAGAGAGCAAAGTGGAGGGCGCACATCCATGTGGACGATTGATGTCTTGTCTACCTTTCCTCTCTTGTTTCTTTTATCGTTTATCTTCCTTATCTTTTTATATTCTTATGTTATTTTTATCTTCTAGCTTTTTTATGTTCTTTTATTTATTTTTCTTTTATCTTGGTTATATTCTTGTGTTATTATTATCTTATATTTATGTATCTTTATTTTATTCATTTTATCTTACTTTTTCTTTTCTTTTCTTGCCCGCCTTCTCTTTTTGGCATCGATATCATAGATCGATTCATGTTAGCCGACCCCAAATTCTTTTGGGATTAAGGCTTGGATGTTGTTGTATCGTGGTTTTGTATAATGGGTGCTTCTACGGTGCACTCCTTAATTTGGTGTGTTTTGGTACAAATCTTTTTTAACCACCCATCATCCTTTTTAACCACCCATCACATTATATCTTAATCTTACGCCACCTAATATCCTCATTAACTAAACATAATAATTTGCCATTTTTGCATTTAGATCCTTCACCGGATTAGAAAAAAAAGGTTAAACTGAACAAAATCGTCAAAGGAGATTTAATTAAATAGGAATAAATAAATATTTAATTGTCAAAGTATGTGCAATGTTTAAAAGTATTATAAATAGGAATTTGGCCTACACTGACGCCGATGCCTGGTCAGATCTGGGCGTCACCGATCTGACCACCGACATTGCACATCTTGCCATGAACCACCACCGTACATCTGACCAGATCTGGCCACGTCGACCGCCGGCGCTAAAGATCCGGCCTCTACCACTAAAGATTTGGCCTACACTAACGCCGACGCCGCAGATCTAGATCACCGACATAGGGAACTAGGGGGCAATTGTTTATAGGT